ACTAGAACAGAACTAGCACAGAACTAGAACAGAACTGAACAGAACTAGAACAGAACTAGAACAAGAACTAGAACCGAACTAGAACCAGAACTAGAACTGAAATATGAACTTCTGAAAGTCTTCAGATTGAAGGCACAAATAAAGCTAAACATATGACTAAAGAAATTGATTAAAAAATTGTCCATAGATGGACCTATGATCGATGTTTAAATATGATCAGATTTCTAACCAAATTGAAGTTTAATTTCAGTTATAAAAAGACTCCCAACGTAAACAACAAATTTACTACATAAGCCCTTTAGTTAGATCTTCGTTTCTAGATAAAATACTAGTTTCTCCGGGCTGAAGAAAAAATATATGTTTATTTTCATAAAACCCTTACACAAAGTTAAAATATTGCAAATACAAACAAGAAATGAAAGTTAATTAATTGTTTCTCGAAACCTCAGTTATTATGCATTTTAACCTGTTTTAAAAGACCCACTTGTTTAGCTCTCTTTAACACATAAAATCCATAAATATTTTCCATAATAAAGACTAGAGAGGCAAGTGAACAAGAAACAATATACCAACAAAATAAAACAACAACAACAGAAAAAAGTCTAAACAAACAAATACAATAATTAAAAATTAGGTCAGCAATGAGTTATTAGTTCGTACAAGTCATAATTAGTTTTTTGGCTTAATACAAACTCACACAAAACTCAATTACAAAAATGTGTATGTATTGTGTTTATGATAGAAATATAAACTTTAAGACTCACATATATACACACATATACATACACTCACATTCCTTTTCGAAGGAACTTTTTAAATTATGTGAAAATATTTGAAAAATTATTTTCATAAGTCTGAAAAATTTACAGCAATTGTAAAAGCAGCAGCTGGACTTGGAGTGATAGAAATAGAATAGAAATATTTCAAAAATATATTTTTACTATTGGTATGAGTGGGAAATAGAGGAGAAAAAAAAAAGTGATAGGAATGGCAAAATGAAAATAACTTAATCTTTTGCTCTCATATATTGTAATTTATTGAGCGTCGTTATTGATGCTAAAGACATCCGGTAGTTAAATGGGTAACAGATGTTGCACGTGGGTATTTTTAACTGTAATATATACTTTTAATATATTTATGGGTATGTATGAATTTAATTAGTTTTTTTTAAGGGAATAAATTAATTACTAGAGCGTAGGTTATAGAGGAGCAGTAACAGGGGCTGCTATCGTAGGTTTTCAATTCACAGAAAATTAAGAAAATATTTACTAGAAAATTACAGAAGATTGGATCTGACATGATATATATATGATTTAATCTAGAACATTACAGAGAAGGACCGACTAGAGTAAGGCCTGTGATTAAAGTCAAAAAATTGCAGTGAACAACTGAAATATAACAAAGAGAAAGACCTTCGATTTAAATTGAAATGTAACTAAAGAAACCTCTATGATCGAAAAACCCTACGGCTAAAGCCCATATAAAACTGAGACCGACAATTGAAAATAAAATTTTACTAGAGTAAGACTTATGATTAAAAGAAAAGCACGATTAAAGAAAGTCTTGTGACCGAAGCTAAAACATGATAGATTTCTATTGCAGCGAAATTACGATTTAAGTGAGACTAACGACTCAAGCAAAAACTAGATGACTAGAAGAATACCCACCATAAAAGCTTCAATTAAAGCTCAAATAAGGCTGATAAAGATTTGTGACAGAGGATGAGGAAGCGCTATGCTTGGAGATAAAACATAGAGGAGATAGGCCACAACAATTGAAAATGTCTAATGTTGGGAGGTCTCAATATTGAAAGACCTATGATTTATGGCAAAATTAGCTCGAGCAAAGTGAACAACTGAAGCAAATGTGTGCATATGCCGGAGAAGAAATGTGGACGATCGAGAGAAAGACATAAGGGTTTGAGTTTAAACAAGATCGATATAAGTTAGTAGTAGTTAGTTAGTTAGTTAGTTAGTTAGTTAGTTTTAGGTTAGTTAGTTAGTTAGTTTAGTTAGTTAGTTAGTTAGTTAGTTAGTGTTAGTTAGTTAGTTAGTTAGTTAGTTAGTTAGTTAGTTAGTTAGTAGTTAGTTAGTTAGTTAGTTAGTTAGTTAGTTAGTTAGTTGTTAGTTAGTTTAGTTAGTTAGTTAGTTAGTTAGTTAGTTAGTTAGTTAGTTAGTAGTTAGTTAGTTAGTTAGTTAGTTAGTTTAGTTAGTTAGTGAGTTAGTTAGTTAGTTAGTTAGTTAGTTTAGTTAGATGAGTTATTTTAGTTAGTTAGTTAGTTAGTTAGTTAGTTAGTTAGTTAGTTAGTTAGTTAGTTAGTTAGTTAGTTTAGTTTATTTTAGTTAGTTCTTTAGTTGTTTATTTATTATTAGTTATTATTATTCGTTTGTATTTTTCTTTATTTATTTCGTTTTTCTTATTTTTCTTTCTTTAGTTATTTATTTTTTATTTCTTTTTATTTTATTTTTTGTTATTTTCTTCTTCTTTATTTTCTTTCTTTTTCTTTCTTTATTCTTTCTTTCTTTATTTCTTTCTTTTTTTTCTTTTTTTATTTATTTATTTCTTTCTTTCTTTCTTTCTTTCGTTCTTTTCTTTCTTTCTTTATTTATTTCTTTATTTCTTTCTTTCTTTTCTTTCTTTCTTTCTTTTCTTACTTTTTCTTTATTTATTCTTTCTTTATTTTTTTCTTTCTTTCTTTCTTTCTTTCTTTCTTTTCTTTCTTTCGTTTTTTCTTTTCTTTCTTTCTTTTCTTTCTTTTCTTTCTTTCTTTCTTTTTTTTTTTTTTTTTTTTTTTTTTCTTTCTTTTTCTTTTTTTTTTTTCTTTCTTTCTTTCTTTCTTTCTTTCTTTCTTTCTTTCTTTCTTTCTTTCTTTATCTTGTTCTTTCTTTTTTTTCTTTTCTTTCTTTTCTTTCTTTTCTTTCTTTCTTTCTTCTTTCTTCTTTCTTTCTTTCTTTCTTTCTTTCTTTTTTTTCTTTCTTTCTTTCTTTCTTTCTTTTTCTTTTCTTTCTTTTCTTTCTTCTTTCTTTCTTTCTTTCGTTCTTTCTTTCTTTCTTTCTTTCTTTCTTTCTTTCTTTCTTTCTTTCTTTCTTGTCTTTCTTTTCTTTTCTTTCTTTCTTTCTTTCTTTCTTTCTTTCTTATTTCTTTCTTTTCTTTCTTTCTTTCTTTCTTTCTTTCTTTCTTTCTTTCTTTCTTTTCTTTCTTTTCTTTCTTTCTTTCTCTTTCTTTCTTCTTTCTTTCTTTTCTTTATTTTTCTTTCTTTCTTTTCTTTCTTTCTTTCTTTCTTTCTTTCTTTCTTTCTTTATTTCTTTCTTTTCTTTCTTTCTTTCGTTCGATTAGTTCGTTCTTTCTTTCGTTAGTTTCGTTATTTCTTTTTCGTTAGTTATTTCTGTTCTTTCTTTAGTTAGTTAGTTAGTTAGTTAGTTTTCTTAGTTATTGAAGGCGAAACATTACACAAACATTTGCAGCTTAAACGTGGAACGGGAAGTCCTATGACTGAAGCTGAAATGGAGGAAGGTCCTAGTCCTAGAGAGGACCTACAATTGAAACTTTAGCGTGGTAGATGAAGGCTAAATCATCCTCAGAAAGACAAGGAAGTGAATGATCTGAAATTGAATCTGAAACTTGGCAGAGATAGACGTCGATTGTACTTAAAACATGACAGAGAGAGAAGCTGTCAGGGAAATATTTAACTGAAGATATATCATTGCATCGAAAAATCACATGATTGGAGTAAAAATATAGTTAAAGAATGACTCACGATTGAGCGGAAAGAATTACTGAATCATCATATAACGAATGAGACTAAAATATGACTAGATATAGTTTTACAATTGATCCAAAGAAGAGTGAATCAGTGTCTTGGTAGTATGCTAGTCTATCATGACTCGTGACTTTTATTCCCCTAAGGACTCTGATCTGATTTTACTAACATTAAGCGTAAGGTTAGTAGGTACTTTATTTGTAATTGTATTGTACTTACCTTTTAATAACTATTACTATTAATGTTGTATGTATGTATTTTTGTAATATTTATGATAACCATCCAATTTGTATTTATTAATGACATCTATTTTAAATGTTTCCTTAACGGCTGCTAACGAAGATTTTTTGTTTTTGTCTTTTATTGAAATTTGTTGAACTATTTATTGATTATATTAAATTGAAGACTACTATGAGTGGTGGTGGTGTTGTTATAAAAATTTGTTTCTTAAAAAATGTCTAAGTATATGTTATTAATGCGCAATATTTACTATTTAATATGGAGTTTTTACATTTTACAAAATTCTGCTAGTTTGAAAATTGTATGTAATTTATGTTTTTATTCAAGTTGACAACACTTGTTGCTGGTTTGAGTTTGTAATGTTTTTTGAGAGTATGACGTTTATTTGTTGTAATATTTGTAATGAGTTTTTAATTAATTTAAAAATGCACTTTTATATGTTTTATAAAGGTTTTGTTTTTTTTTTCGTTTTAGTTAAACTTATCTGTAGCTGCTAATGGTAGTTTATTTTATGTTTAAAAAAATTGTTTTATGTTATTAAGAATTTATTAATTATTTATTTAATATTTTAATTTTCATAATATTTCAATATTTATATTAGTAGTCAGAGTAGTAAGAAGTTTAAAAAAGAAATTTTTGTTACATTTTCATAAATTTTCCCTTAATAGTTTTTTCACTGTAAGCAAAAAAACCAACATTTTACACATTTTTATCCATAAATTTTTATATTTATTTAATTTTTTTTTTGTTAAATTTTATATCTGCATGTTTTTTAACATGTTGTTGTTTTTTTAATTTTATTTTATTTTTTTTTGCTTGCTATTAATAATATGTTTTACCAATTAATTAATAATTTATGTAAATTTGCTGTTTTATTATTATTTTTATGTGTTTTTTTTAATTAAATACTATTGTTTATTCTCAGGTTTGAGAAAAAATTATTTTTATTTTCATTGTATTTATAGTTTAATTTAATTTATTATTAATTATTTTGTGCGTTTTTGTTGTTGTTGATTTCCGTTATTATTATATACAAATGTATGTTTGAAAATTATTTTTATTATTATTTAACTAATAATTTAGTTGTTTTTCTCATATGAAATTATTATCTTCTGTAATAATCTTCTACATATAAGTTTAAATTTGTTGCGTTTTCTGTTTGAATAAAAAAATGAATTGTTGCGTAATTAATATTTAATTTTTGCTAAAATAAACATATTACTTAAATGTTAATTAACTGATGTAACGCCTAGTGAAATATACACAATTAAGACTAAAATACAAGAGTAGGATGAGAATTGTACTAGAACAGAACTAGAACAAAACTAGAACAGAATAGAACAGAACTAGAACAGAACTAGAACAGAACTAGAACAGAACTAGAACAGAACTAGAACAGAACTAGAACAAAAACAGAACTAGAACAGAACTAGAACAGAACTAGAACAGAACTAGAACAGAACTAGAACAGAACTAGAACAGAACTAGAACAGAACAAAAAACTAGAAAGAACTAGAACAGAACTAGAACAGAACTAGAACAGAACTAGAACAGAACTAGAACAGAACTAGAACAGACTACAGAACTAGAACAGAACTAGAACAGAACTAGAACAGAACTAGAACAGAACTAGAACAGAACTAGAACAGAACAGAACTAGAACAGAACTAGAACAGAACTAGAACAGAACTAGAACAGAACTAGAACAGAACTAGAACAGAACTAGAACAGAACTAGAACAGAACTAGAACAGAACTAGAACAGAACTAGAACAGAACTAGAACAGAACTAGAACAGAACTAGAACAGAACTAGAACAGAACTAGAACAGAACTAGAAACAACTAGAACAGAACTAGAACAGAACTAGAACAGAACTAGAACAGAACTAGAACAAACTAGAACAGAACTAGAACAGAACTAGAACAGAACTAGAACAGAACTAGAACAGAACTAGAACAGAACTAGAACAGAACTAGAACAGAACTAGAACAGAACTAGAACAGAACTAGAACAGAACTAGAACAGAACTAGAACAGAACTAGAACAGAACTAGAACAGAACTAGAACAGAACTAGAACAGAACTAGAACTGAACTAGAACTGAACTAGAACAAACTAGAACAGAACTAGAACAGAACTAGAACTAGAACTAGAACAGAACTAGAACTATAACAGAACGAACTAGAACAGAACTAGACAGAACTAGAACAGAACTAGACAGAACTAGAAAGAACTAGAACAGAACTAGAACAGAACTAGGACAGAACTAGAACAGAACTAGAACAGAACTAGAACAGAACTAGAACAGAACTAGAACAGAATAGAACAGAACTAGAACAGAACTAGAACAGAACTAGAACAGAACTAGAACAGAACTAGAACAGAACTAGAACAGAACTAGAACAGAACTAGAACAGAACTAGAACAGAACTAGAACAGAACTAGAACAGAACTAGAACAGAACTAGAACAGAACAGAACAGAACTAGAAACAGAACTAGAACAGAACTAGAACAGAACTAGAACATAACTAGAACAGAACTAGATCAGAACTAGAACAGAACTAGAAACAGAACTAGAACAGAACTAGAACTAGAACAGAACTAGAACAGAACTAGAAACAGAACTAGAACAGAACTAGAACAGAACTAGAACAGACAACTAGAACAGAACTAGAACAGAACTAGAACAGAACTAGAACAGAACTAGAACAGAACTAGAACAGAACTAGAACAGAACTAGAACAGAACTAAAACAGAACTAGAACAGAACTAGAACAGAACTAGAACAGAACTAGAACAGAACTAGAACAGAACTAGAACAGAAACTAGAACAGAACTAGAACAGAACTAGAAAGAACTAGAACAGAACTAGAACTAGAACAGAACTAGAACAGAACTAGAACAGAACTAGAACAGAACTAGAACAGAACTAGAACAGAACTAGAACAGAACTAGAACAGAACTAGAACAGAACTAGAACAGAACTAGAACAGAACTAGAACAGAACTAGAACAGAACTAGAACAGAACTAGAACAGAACTAGAACAGAACTAGAACAGAACTAGAACAGAACTAGAACAGAACTAGAACAGAACTAGAACAGAACTAGAACAGAACTAGAACAGAACTAGAACAGAACTAGAACAGAACTAGAACAGAACTAGAACAGAACTAGAACAGAACTAGAACAGAACTAGAACAGAACTAGAACAGAACTAGAACAGAACTAGAACTGAACTTGAACATTAATTTAGCATTATTTAGATGTTATTCAATCTAGAATTCATAATTCATTCTTACCAAAAATTTAAAGTTGCTTTTATTTTTTACAAAAATTAGTTTTTCACCATTGTTTGTCGTTTTTCTAACTTCCAAATACTTAGTTCGTTTAACACTTTGTTTTAACTAATTATTATTTATTAATTATTTTATTATACTATTTTAAATTAATTTAGTCGTTATTTTTTTGTTCAAAATTAATTGTTCGTTTAATTTGCTAATTCGTTTTAAACATTTGTAAATTTTTGTGATTCCAATTTTTTCACTTTCACTAAAATTTTTGTTTCAATTTTATTCAGTTGTTTAGACTACACACTCTAAAACCATTTGAAATGTATTTCCTTCACTGTGTTTAGTTGGCATATTTCTCCGGGTGAAAAAAAAGAAAAGTCTGAAAAGAATGTGAAGAAAAGAACAATTAGTTGATAAGAAAAACATATGAACTAGAACATTTAAAGATTTATATAAATTTAGTTTAATAAATTTGCTTAAAATAATATTAATCTACTCTATTCCCCATTAAAGACTTGTACTACAGAACGGACAATTTTTAAGGACTACCTTTGTATTATGAGACACAAATACAATAAAATTTTACACTATACTTTGAAAATGCTACAATTAAAGATAAAATGTGACAAGTGAATTGAAAACTTAAGGATGGCGAAGCCGATTTGACGTCCATCTGTCTTTGTATTTGTTCCAATAGCATTAATATGGCCCCTCTTTCTGTGCAACTTTTAATCTTTTAATCTTATAACATCAGGAGAATATTTATGGAATAGGTATTTTAATCTATTTGCTGAATAGATTCCCCAGATAATTTCACGCTCAAAACTAAGATTAATCTATTTGACATGCTGTTTATTTCTAGTTCAGTTCTAGTTCAGTTTTAGTTCAGTTTTAGTTCAGTTCTAATTCAGTTCTAGTTCAGTTCTAATTCAGTTCTAGTTCAGTTCTAGTTCAGTTCTAGTTCAGTTCTAGTTCAGTTCTAGTTCAGTTCTAGTTCAGTTCTAGTTCAGTTCTAGTTCAGTTCTAGTTCAGTTCTAGTTGAGTTCTAGTTGAGTTCTAGTTGAGTTCTAGTTGAGTTCTAGTTGAGTTCTAGTTGAGTTCTAGTTCAGTTCTAGTTCAGTTCTAGTTCAGTTCTAGTTCAGTTCTAGTTCAGTTCTAGTTCAGTCCTAGTTCAGTTCTAGTTCAGTTCTAGTTCAGTTCTAGTTCAGTTCTAGTTCAGTTCTCGTTCAGTTCTAGTTCAGTTCTAGTTCAGTTCTAGTTCAGTTCTAGTTCAGTTCTAGTTCAGTTCTAGTTCAGTTCTAGTTCAGTTCTAGTTCAGTTCTAGTTCAGTTCTAGTTCAGTTCTAGTTCAGTTCTAGTTCAGTTCTAGTTCAGTTCTAGTTCAGTTCTAGTTCAGTTCTAGTTCAGTTCTAGGTTAGTTCTAGTTCAGTTCTAGTTCAGTTCTAGTTCAGTTCTAGTTCAGTTCTAGTTCAGTTCTAGTTCAGTTCTAGTTCAGTTCTAGTTCAGTTCTAGTTCAGTTCTAGTTCAGTTCTAGTTCAGTTCTAGTTTAGTTCTAGTTCAGCCTAAGTTTTAACATAAAAATCAGATTATTCACTAAAGATTAAATTTTTGTTTAAACTTAAGTTTTTGACTAAAATAAAATTTATCACTTAAAATTAAATTTTTCAGTAAAAAATCAATTTTTCATTAACAAAAAAAAAAAAAAAAAAAATTCACTAAAAATTATTTTTTTACTAAAAATTCAATTTATCACTTACAAATCAATTTTTCACTAAAAAATAAATTTTCCACTAAAAATTCAATTTTTCTCTAAAAATTCAATTTTTCACTAAAATTTCAAATTTTCACTTAAAGTTACATTTTTTCACTAAAAATTCAGTTTTCTAAAATTTTAGTTTGACTAAAAAAAATGCTTTAATGACAATATGTTAAGTAAAATGTTTTATTAACATTCTCATACTAGTTTGTTTCTACAGACACAGATGTCTGGGATGCTGCTCTGTTACTTTTCATTCATTAAGGTTCAATTAGTTATATATTTTTGTAGATTTCTGCAAAATTTGATTTGTTTATAAAACTTCTTTGTATCTTTTTCATTTCTATTATTTTTCTTACTTAATGTTTTAAACAGTTTAAGTGGCGTTTTGTTATTTTATTTTTAATTATTAACATTTTTTATTCTTGTATGGAATTTTGTGGCAGACAAAAGAAAAAAACACATGTAGATTCCTAAAAGTATACTACACATAATTTTCTTTTATTCATTACTTTCTTAATTTTTATCAAATTTCTTTCTTAATATACAAATTTCTTTACAACAAAAATAACTTTCTGTATTTTTTTTTTCTTACCAACACTTAGACACACACACACACATAGATAGACAGACACTTGTATGAAGAAAGTAAAAAAAGAAAAAATTACTATAGAAAGCAGAAAAAGAAGAAGAAGAGCTGCTCATGAGATAAATACGGGCACCTGTTATACATGACCATAAAAAAGCACATTTGTCCTTGATAGGTTTTGCGAACAAAAGAACAGAAGCAAAAAAACACACACAGATGGGTGAAAAAAGCAACAGCAGTTTTAGCGACACCAATCAACTTTTTATTAGTTTATAAAGCACTTTTTGAGAAATTTTATTAATTTTTTTTTTTAAATTTTTATAATTTTTTTTATTAATAATTTAATTTTTTGAAAATTTTAATATTTTGTGTTAAATTTTCATTCTTGTTGCTAGAGTTGCTGAAAATTGTAATAAGAAAATGTGCTCCAGCTTCTATGATTGGAAGTTGCCTTCTTGTTGTATAGAAATATTTGAATTTTACACGCACACATAAAAAACTCAACACTCTTAAACGCACACACACACGCACACTCACTTAAATAGATGAGCACATGCAATCTCCATGGAAAGTTAAGGATAAAACGGAATACACAATAAATTGAATACAACAACTTTAGTAATTCACCACACACATACTACTCACTCATAGAAAATTTTGTCAAAACAAAATTGTAGCAGCCAAAGGACTTTTTTGAAACATAAAAGAGAAACGTTAACTAAAGCGAAAAAAAACGGATACAAACATTGTTTGTTACACTACAATGGTTTTTCTTTGATACAAAAAAACAACATACACCAACACAAACAGCCATCATCAAAGAGAGAGTAAGAGCAAATTTCCTTCGTTTGGCTTTTCCTTTTTTTTTTTGTTGTTGTTATACCGTTAACAACATCGTCACAATACTTGAAGAGTGTGCTTGATTTGGAATATTAATCCAAATTGAGCACCACTAGAGCGTATGTGTGTGTGTGTTTGTGTTTGTATGAGTATGTGTTTTTTGTTAGAGCCACAGAAAACTTTAGCTGCTGTTTTAAGTTGATAGATACAAATTTAAGGGATAATTTACTGTAATGTTTTATCGTCCTCGTCGTTGTTGCTTCAAATAATATTTTAAATTTGTAACGGTTTCTTGAAGGGTTTTTAATGCCATAAACTTATATTTGTTAACTATCAGTTTAATATTCTATTAGTAACATTTTAATTTGAATTAATTTGAATAAACGTTAGCACTTACAAAACTATTATTCATTTGTGAAATTTAAAAATGTATAAAATCTTGTAGTTTGCTCTAAAGGTAATGGATTCAATTATATTACAATAGAGAAAATTATGGCTTATACCGGTCGATTAGGACCCACTTTTTGAGTCGATATTATGCTAAGCGTTCATATGTCCGTCCGTCCATACGTCTGTCTGTCTGTTTGTCTGTCTGTCTGTCTGTCTGTCTGTCTGTCTGTCTGTCTGTCTGTCTATCTATAATGACATATACCGATCGATTAAGACCCAACTCAAAAGTAGTCGATATAACGATAACCATTCATACTTTCATCCGTCCATACGCCTGTCTATCTGTTTGTTTGTTTGTCTGTCTGTCTGTCTGTCTGTCTGTCTGTCTGTCTGTCTGTCTGTCTGTCTGTCTGTCTGTCTGTCTGTCTGTCTGTCTGTCTGTCTGTCTATCTATCTGCCTTTCTGTGTGTCTGACTATCTAGCTATATGTTCTATCTGTCCGTCCGTATATCTGTCTCTATGTCTATCTGAAATCTTGTAGTTTGGTCTAAATATTAAAATGGAGAAAATAATGGCTTATACCGGTCGATTAGGACCCACTTTTTGAGTCGATATAAAGATAAGCGTTCATAAGTCAGTCCATACATCTGTCTGTTTATCTATAATGGCATATACCGATCGATTAAGACCCGTCCGTCCATACGCCTATCTGTCTGTCTGTCTGTCTGTCTGCCTTTCTGTCTGCCTTTCTGTCTGCCTTTCTGTGTGTCAACTATCTATCTATATGTTCCGCCTGTCCGTCCGTATATCTGTCTCTATGCCTGTCTGTCAGTCTATATGTATGTCTGTTTGTTTGTTTGTTTGTTTGTTTGTATCTCTTTCTGTCAGTCCGATCATCTGTGAGTCTCTATAAAAGTTGTTATCAAAGTACAAGTCACAATTTTCAAGATAATTTGATGAAATTTTACAAAATTATTTCTTTTACTCCATGGACTATGTCTTCCAGAAAATTTGGTAGAAATCGGTATATTATTTCACAATCGAATCCCCCGTTATAAGGTTTTTGGACTGAAACATTTTCACTACAACATGTCAATCACAACAAGAGCTCTTGAACGCTATTATTGGCCAAATTTACATAGTGCCAAAGTAATGGTTTGAATCTGGTGGGAATAAAAGATTACTTTTTACTACGAGCTGCTAAAATCTGGCAAAAATTTTACAGGGCATCTGAACCGAATGTAACTGATTCATTTAAAGCAAGAATTTTCTCCTAGAAACTAGCAGCTAGGCTGTGGATTCATAAAATGTTGTATTTGATCTGATAATGAAAAGATACTTGTATCTAATGGATGAAATGGATTCTGAGTTGTATCTGTGGAGATATGGGAATAACGTATGAAGTGACGGTTAAAGAGGCTTAGGAGTTGGTTGAGACGTTGGCGGAGTTGTTAATAACTTAATCATTAATTTATCGGTGATTTTGTTTCATGTTTGTGTTGGAATTTACTCTAAAACATGCTCAATTTATTACAGTGAGACCTTGTGGTCACTGAAATAAGTCTGACTAAATATATGTATATCTGAGTTTTTGAACCACCAGTTATGTCCCTAGGAGCTTTTGCCGGAGCAACAGAGCCATCGTAGTAGTGTAGTTGGGCGACTTTAAAAGGTCAAGGAAGGCATTGGTGTGAATCTTTAGATGATGAGAATGCCAGTAAGGACAAAAGCATTCCTTATTGCATCATCACCCCTTATATCGGCTCTAACCGGTGATTGCTTTTTCCATTGTCGGGGTTCGATTGAGCTTGACTCATGACATCTGTCATTCCTCAACGGGGCTACTATGGCAAGAAATTGTATAGCCCGAGTACTGGAGCAAAGTGCTTGTATATAGACCGGTACAACCTTGTGCGGTGGTGAGTCGTCAAAGAATTTCACCCAGTGGTTAAATAAGACCACTTCGGCCTTCGTCACTTCATAGATTCCAAAAAATTGCCAGAAAGCTAGTCCAAAGGAGTCAATGCCTGAGAGTTATTATTTTAGATTTGGAAGTGTCTATTCTATAGATTTCGTTTGTATAGTAAAGTGACGATTTCCACTGCTATCTATAGATTACTTTTAGCCTGTAAAGTGACGGCTATCACTGATCTCGTTTGCAAAGTCGACACTTAAGTGATGGCTATCTTTACCTTCGTTTACGAAGAGTAAATTCGGAAGACGAATAAGAGCTCAACAGATAGTTAGACGTCAGTGGAAATGACTGTCTGTTTTTTGGATTTATTGAATCTTTGTTGAACTGCTGGGTCTCCACAGTTGGATACAAGTGTATAAAATCGTTTTTGGAAAACTTGCGCTTAACGCTTACATACAGACGGACGGACGAACTGACTGACGGACAGCCATAGATAAATTGTCATAGGAAATGATTCAGGTGAGTAAAGAACTCATATTTTTGGATGTTACAAACATCAGCATAAACGCATATCCTCTTCACTCTGTTAGTGTAGGGTACAATATATGTGTAGGATGCACTTGTTTTGACACTTTAAAAATTTGCTAATAAATTACATATATTTCGCTACGATCGGACAAATCTTTCTTCAGAAAATCAGTTTGTTATACAAAGTCCGTAGACTTTTGATATAAACGATTGATTTAAGTCCCGACAGTCAATACCTCAAAAAAAAAAAAAAAAAAAAATCAAATCCTCATAAATCATATCTGGTTTGTAAAACAACTCAATACCAATAACTCGATAATTGACCAACTTCTGAAAGCAGATATAGGGTATCATATAATAGAGCATGTGCGACTATATACAGACATTTGCCTCTTCTGTTATATTAGATCGTGATACCAAATTTTCCTCGAAATTCCTAAAGTTAAAATGTTGTTTGAAAGTAAAGCTTTTAAGGGTAATGATCGTGACATTTGGTGGCCAATCAGCTTAAGATTTTTTAATTCCGTTTTCTGTGATTTAGGGAAATATTTATTGAATTTAAAGTGGTTTCCAAATGACGGATTCATATAGGAGTGAGTTTTCGAAAACTGGGAACTTTCTCAATTTTTTGGGAAATTTTTTGTATTATTTTAAAAACAAAGCAGATTATAGAAGAAAAATATATACATACAAGTTAGAATTTATAGTAGGACAAAGCCGACCATATGGAACCCTACACCAGTGGTGACAAAAAAAGGCGTTTTCTAAATGAGGGGTTATATGGGGGCAGGGGGTTAAAATGGTCCTATCCTTATAAATTTTGGTAGAGAGATTTATGTCTACATTAGTTATTTATGCAGAGTATCATCATGAGTGAATTTTTAGCATCAACTCATTTTCCGAAGTGGACTTTGTATGGGGGATAGGGTTAAATGAGGCCCGATCACTACGAAAATGAGAAGTATCATTAAGACTTTTAAAACAAAGTTTTGTCGATTTTAAAATTGATACAAGAACATTTAACATATTTATGAACTCAAAAGCCGTATTCGGGAGGATCGATTTCAATAGGCGTTGTCCTTGGGTCAAAAGAAGAGTATGTGCAAAATTTCATCAAATTATCTTGAAAATTGCGACCTGTAGAGTGCGCATAAGGTTTACATGGACACACAGACGGACTGACACGCAGACACACGGACAGACAGACAGACGGACAGACAGACAGACAGACAGACGGACGGACAGACAGACAGACAGACAGACAGACAGACAGACAGACAGACAGACAGACAGACAGACAGACTGACAGACAGACAGACAGACGGACAGACAGACAGACAGACAGACAGACAGACAGACGGACTGACAGACGGACACAGCTAAATCGACTCAGAAAGTGATTCTGAGCTGATTGGCAAATTCTAAGGCGGGTGTAAGACCAATATTTTTGGGTGTTACATACGCTACACCATTAGAGTGGTGTAGGGTATAAAAATTTACTATTTTTTTATTTTATAAAAATTTTAACTAGTTACTATGTTACCAGTTTAATATTAATGTTTTTTAAATATATTTTTATAATTTTAATTTAATATTTAAATTAATTTAACAAAAATGTTTAAATTATTGTTTTCAAAACAAAATATTAAAACTTTTTGAACCTTTAAATTTAACACAATATGATATTTTTATTAAAAAATCACAACTCAAATACTTCACTTCTTTTTCTAAAACACTCATTTTTTTAAAACAAAATTTTAATAAAAATTTTCTTGTAATTTATATATTTTTTTATATACAGCCAATTTTTTTTTAAATATAATTCATAATTTTTTAAAAGAAAATATTTTATCAATTATTTTTACCTTTTTTTAATAATCAAATTTTTTCAATAACTTTTCTCTACATTTTGTTTCGTTTTTTTTTTTCTAATTTTTAATTTCACTACACAAATTTTTTTATTCAAAAATTCTTTTAAAATTCTAAAATTTATTTTGAGTATTTTTTTCTAAAACAATGACACAATTTTTTTATTTTTTTAAATTAAAGCAGTTTGGTTTTTTTCTTGAAATTTTAGCTTGAAAAAGTTTTCACTCTTTTTTTTTGTATATGTAGTGGTATTTTTTTTTTTTGCTTTTTTTTTGACAGAAATTGTGTATTTATTTCTATTTCTTGTCTGTTTAAAACAAACCGTCCACGTTTCTTATTTTGAAGGAGGAAAAGGCAACAAACAGCACAACCCGAAACCGGAACACCAACTGAAAGTTAATTTAAATCCTCAAAAAGGAGCTACCACAACACTAAATAGTGGCTCAACTTGAATTACTGGAACTCGACTGGAATGTCTAAGAGATGCTGGAAGCTGTAGCCAAAAAACAACTCTATGAAAAATGCATAAATGCACTTACTTTAAGAGTACCACATAAAAGAGTAAGAAAAGCTTGCTAAGAGAGAAACAAATATTACTCTTTTGCTTTAACATCCCTTTTAAGCTTTCATTTGGCTGCAAAGCTTTTTATGTCGTGTTATCCCATATTTTTTGTAAGTTTTCCTTTTCTATGTTTTATGTGTGTAGACTCTTGTTACAGAATTTGGTTGGGTTATTAAGAAGTCTTTAGGATACAAAATATGTGACAATTGATATGTAATTATTAAGAGCAGGAATAAAACAAAGCAAAGGGGTTTTTCTGTACTTCGATAACCTAGTTTTTTTTAAATATTTTTTATTTGCTTTTTTTAATTTCTTTTTATATACATACACACATTCTTATATTTTCAATCTTTTAAACTCTCCTTCTGTATCCTTAAGTTCAAGTTTGTAATTGCCAAAGAAATGTTTAAAGGAAATATGATTTCTTTTAATCTTCTTGCAATTCATTTTGCTACTTTTACAACATGTAAAAACTAATTGCATTTAGAAAAAAAGAGTTGACAAAAATTATAAAAAAACGGAAAAGTTTTGTACAATATGGCACTAGAAATGCATAAGTGTATAAATGAATAATGTAAATTCCCTTTTAAAGAGTTGATTCTGAGTGTCATTAGAGTGATGATGAATGCTCAAACACACATAAAGCAAATGAGACAGTTTTTATTAAACTTTAGAGTTTAACAATATTAGAAACTGAACTAGAAGTGAATTAAAAACAGAACTAGAAATGAATTAGAACTGAACTATATATAACTAGAACAGAGCTAGAACAGAGCTAGAACAGAACTAGAACAGAACTAGAACAGAAACTAGAACAGAACTAGAACAGAACTAGAACAGAACTAGAACAGAACTAGAACAGAACTAGAACTGAACTAGAACTGAACTGGAACTGAACTGGAACAGAACTAGAACAGAACTAGAACAGAACTAGAACAGAACTAGAACAGAACTAGAACAGAACTAGAACAGAACTAGAACAGAACTAGAACAGAACTAGAACAGAACTAGAACAGAACTAGAACTGACTAGAACAGAACTAGAACAGAACTAGAACTGAACTAGAACAGAACTAGAACAGAACTAGAACTGAACTAGAACTGAACTAGAACTAGAACTGAACTAGAACTGAACTAGAACTGAACTAGAACTGAACTAGAACTAACTAGAACTGAACTAGAACTGAACTAGAACTGAACTAGAACTGAACTAGAACTGAACTAGAACTGAACTAGAACTGAACTAACACTGAACTAGAACTGAACTGGAACTGAACTAGAACTGAACTAGAACTGAACTAGAACTGAACTAGAACTGAACTAGAACTGAACTAGAACTGAACTAGAACTGAACTAGAACGGAACTAGAACTGAACTAGAACTGAACTAGAACTGAACTAGAACTGAACTAGAACTGAACTAGAACTAGAACTGAACTAGAACTGAACTAGAACTGAACTAGAACTGAACTAGAACTGAACTAGAACTGAACTAGAACTGAACTAGAACTGAACTAGAACTGAACTAGAACTGAACTAGAACTGAACTAGAACTGAACTAGAACTGAACTAGAACTGAACTAGAACTGAACTAGAACTGAACTAGAACTGAACTAGAACTGAACTAGAACTGAACTAGAAATGAACTAGAACTGAACTAGAACTAGAACTAGAACTGAACTAGAACTGAACTAGAACTGAACTAGAACTGAACTAGAACTGAACTAGAACTGAACTAGAACTGAACTAGAACTGAACTAACTGAACTAGAACTGAACTAGAACTGAACTAGAACTGAACTAGAACTGAACTAGAACTGAACTAGAACTGAACTAGAACTGACCTAGAACTGAACTAGAACTGAACTAGAACTGAACTAGAACTGAACTAGAACTGAACTAGAACTGACTAGAACTGAACTAGAACTGAACTAGAACTGAACTAGAACTGAACTAGAACTGAAAATAAACTGACTAGAACTGAACCTAGAACTGAACTAGAAACTGAACTAGAACTGAAACTAGAACTGAACTAAACTGAAACTGGAACTAGAAACTGAACTAGAAACTGAAACTAGAACTGAACCTAGAACTGAAACTAGAACTGACTAGACGACAGAACGAACTAGAACTGAAATAGAACTTGAAACTAGAACTGAACTAGAACTGAACTAGAACTGAACTAGAAACTGAACTAGAAACTGAACTAGAACTGAACTAGAACTGAACTAGAACTGAACTAGAACTGAACTAGAACTGAACTAGACTGAACTAGAACTGAACTAGAACTGAACTAGAACTGAACTAGAACTGAACTAGAAACTGAACTAGAACTGAACTAGAACTGAACTTAGACACTGAAACTAGAACTGAACTAGAACTGAACTAGAACTGAACTAGAACTGAACTAGAACTGAAACTAGAACTGAACTAGAACTGAACTAGAACTGAACTAGAACTGAACTAGAACTGAACTAGAACTGAACTAGAACTGAACTAGAACTGAACTAGAACTGAACTAGAACTGAACTAGAACTGAACTAGAACTGAACTAGAACTGAACTAGAACTGAACTAGAACTGAACTAGACCTGAACTAGAACTGAACTAGAACTGAACTAGAACTGAACTAGAACTGAACTAGAACTGAACTAGAACTGAACTAGAAACTGAACTAGAACTGACCTAGAACTGAACTAGAACTGACTAGAACTGAACTAGAACTGAACTAGAACTGAACTAGAACTGAACTAGAACTGAACTAGAACTGAACTAGAACTGACAGACTAGAACTGAACTAGAACTGAGCTAGAAACTGAACTAGAACTGAACTAGAACTGAACTAGAACTGAACTAGAACTGAACTAGAACTGAACTAACTGAACTTGAACTAGAACTGAACTAGAACTGAACTAGAACTGAACTAGAACTGAACTAGAACTGAACTAGAACTGAACTAGAACTGAACTAGAACTGAACTAGAATTGAACTAGAACTGAACTAGAACTGAACTAGAACTGAACTGGAACTGAACTAGAACTGAACTAGAACTTGAACAGTTATACCATTTAATCTCTTGCAATTTACTGTAATTGATAACAAACTAAATTGTTTGACAACAGGCTTTTTGTCTTTTCAGTTATTCATTTAACCTCTAGCCATTTCATATTTTTCTAAAACTTATTTAATTTATCAAAAAAATAATACATATTTACTACTTAATCTGGCCTCAGTTTATTTTAGTCTTTCTTAGTTTTTAATTAAAACCTGACCTCTGGTTTATTGTTTCTCTATCTTTTTCAATTAATCTGTAATTTTACCATTAATCCTCCCATAAGTATGCTACATGAAATAATAACAAAAAATATATATGTATGTATGTATAATATTTTCGTTTCGTTATTAAATTAAAAATAATAATAACTCGCTCTACAGTACTTTTGCTTTCATATACACACACATACTAGCTCATATTCCCAATATATTGTGCAACTCCCTAAGGCGAAATATTTTGAACATAGTTTATCATCTTGTTTACAGCTCTCAATTTTGCAACAATTTTCTACTCTTATAACTGGAGGCAAATGATTTATTGTCCTACAAAATTAATTTTGAAAATAAAAACACCAACAACAGCAACCAAATAAAAATAACGGCAGTTCAAGCAACGAAAAGTGAAAAAAAAAAAATAACAGTAATAAAAAGAAAACCAAAAATAACAACAACCTACACAAAGACAAAAATACATGATGAGAAAAAAACTCCAGCATCATTCGCATGAATGAAATATGACCGACGACGCTTTTTGCTAAACTTTTTGCTATGCTTTTCCCGTGTCTATTTCTTATTCCTCTTTATTTGACATTTTTCCCATCGAAAAATTTAAGTGCCACAAAGAAGTGGATACAAACAAACAGAAAACTGTATATAGAGTACAACAACAACAATATTGGTGACATATATACCAGAAAAACTGTTTAACACAGAGACCTATATTTTGAATTTTTGCAGTTACTTGATAAACTTGTTTACTCCCAAAAATTTTTAACAAGTGTATACAAGAGTCCATGGCTCTTGAAGGGCTTTCAACCCTAATTGATGGTATTGCCATATCAAATACACACATGTATAACCAGAAAAAAAGCTTTCACTCTCTCTACTTCCAGGGTGTTTTAAACAAATTTGCTCTCTACCTCTTTGCTCAATTTTCGTAAATAGTTCCAGTTTTATCCCAGTTTTCCCAGTTAAGCAACTTAACGAAATCCTAATTAAAAAGAAATTGCAAAAAAAATTGTTACTATTGTTGTTTTTTCCACTTTACTTTCATGCAAGTTTAAGCATGTTAAGGTGTAGGTTGTAAAAAATTCTCTGTATAAAAACTCTCTATCGGTATTTCTTATTTTCTTTTGTTTCCAAGTGTTGTATATCTTTAGCAGCGTGGTGAGTTTGTTGAAAATGCAAGGCAAACGACAGAATACCTTTTTATGAATTAAAAATTCTAGCTGCATTAAAGCAAAAAGAAAACCATAAAAAACTAGAA